TCACCTTGACGTATCTTCAGTGGTCTTTTTATGAGAGCTAATATCGATCAAGGCAACATCATAAATATTAATTGTTCTTAAATCAGAGCTAGGAGTATGTGTGAACTCAAAATCCTTTCTTATTTAAGGTTTATATATCTCTATAATCTACGTTAAAGGTGGCATTATTAGTGTCTTAATAAATTACATAAATAACCTCCATGGAACATTTGGTAATTCTAAGAATAATATCATTAATTTAGCTAATGGTATAGAATTTAAAATACTGGTAAAAATGATAATAGGTGCAGGAAAACTTTTTAGACTAAAATACATGGTATGGTCGCTTATACAGATTGAAATTTTTGTGGCAGAACACTAAGAAAATAACAAGGGTTCCATGGAAGACAATAATTTCAATAACACTCATTCACTAAGACAAAATGATTTGTCTGCAGTCCCAAGACACACCACAGAAAGCAATGAAAGTAGCAAGTATAGGATAGTCTCAAGTTTTCAATTATTGGGCAGCCCCCAAACTATAGGCTATTTGAATCAAAGTTCAATGTCTTCAATGTCCAGGACTTTGGAATAGCCGTCCTCTGCTTCTTCCCACACCAGGATTTAAGTCCAAAGGAGTGTTTCATTTCCTTTTATCTACAACAGGTGTTTAGGGTAAAGTCCAGCTCCCTGAGTGGGGTTGCTAAATTGGGTCCTCCAGCTGCTGCTCTGGAGAAAAATGGGGTTTTCTACATCCGTAAACAGTTGGGGTCGCAAAAAACCAAAGGAGCAGTTCTACCCTGTCCTGTAGGGTTGCTCTGAGTTGCCATCAACTCCATGGCAGTGAATTTGTTTTGTTTTAGTTTTTGTCGATAATGGGACCTATGAACAATGGTGTATGCTTTCAAAAGACAAAAATCGAAAATTCAGGATCATGAAAGGCAGAAAGCAAACATTGCCAAATTTGCATGATTAGCAACATAGTTCTTTTAAATTAGGGATCCATACTAGAAATGGTCCTTTTCTTTTTCCAAGTACAGGTTCCCCTGCATTAGTTTACTCACAAATAGAAGTGAAATCACCTTCGTAGAGAGATATACCCACCCCAATCTGATCGTGAATTTCCATAGAAATTCACTGAACATCAGTATAGGAATGAGGATGAGAAAAGGCTATATTGCAGAAACTATATGACCTTTCCCCACTCTTCACCCATATGAAAAACTGACCTTTGCTGAGGTGAAGATTTGGTTTTTAAGACATGCAACAAAGAAAGTGATCAATGGATCACAAGCATTAAACAGCCACATCATAACATTGCTTGGGAGACTAGAAATGATCTGTCCAAAAACCAAATAATTATTCTGGCTCTTTCTATTTGGGAGTCTGTTCCTTTAAACCAGTGGTTCTCCACCTTCCTAATGCCGAGACCCTTTCAGCCAGTTCCTCATGTGGTGGTGACCTCACAACCATAAAATTATTTTCGTTGCTACATCACAGCTGTAATTTTGCTACTGTTATGAATCGCGTGACCCCTGTGAAAGAGTCGTTAGATCCCGAAAGGGGTCACGACCCACAGGTTGAGAACTGCTGCTTTAAACAGACTGAATTCTTCAATAGAGCACCATATTCAGAGAAAAAATGGTCTGCTGGTCTTTCTGGCTCATTATCCAAATCTAAAATAGGTTTTAATACCACTTTTTCCTTTTAGTCTGTTTTTAATACCAAAAGTGTAAAAAAAAGAGAACCAAATCAAAAAGTCAGCAAAACAACCTCACTGCCATCGAATCATTGCCCGACTAATCAAGACTCCATAGGTCCCTGTGGAATTGCTCCTGTGAGTTTCCAGGATTGTAACTCTTCACAGGAGTAGAAAGCCCCTTCTTTCTCCCAAGGACCAGCTGATGATTCAGACCTGATGACCTTGTGGATAGCAACCCAACTCGTGACCATTATGTCACCAGAGGGCAAAAGGTTCACATATGAGCTATCCCAACTTCCATAAAATCCAGAGACAAAGCTGAGATACTAACACTATTAGGTCAAGTGTTTGAATATAACATATAAGACTAAGTACAATAAATATTATGAGGATATTTTAAAAATTATATTCAATAACACTAATAACAGCTACATTCTATAAAACCCTCAGGACGTGTATGAACTCTGAAACATCCATTTATTAAGACACAAAACTGTCTCTTTTGAACTTAGCATAATTTTTTTTAACTCACGAGGGGGATGAACAACAGAACCATGGGTGAAGGGATGCAATGGTAGGTGTAAGATATGAAAATAAGAATAATTTATAATATGTCAAGGGATCACGATGTGGGGTGGCAAAAAAAGGAGCTGATACCAAG